GTAAATGGAAGAGCACAGGACTGTCAGACTGGTAATTAATTTGGGTAAAACTGTGAAGCCTGAAGCATAGTAAGGAGTAGGTCTGAATGCTTAAAATTTAGTATAGGACATGAAATATTGTGTTTTGCAATTGATAGAAACAGGCAATTGTTATTTCCTTTGATATTTTATTTTCTGTACACAGTTATCTGTATCATTACCAATACTACAAAGCCACATAGGCCAAATTTGTTGAACACCACACATCACTGACACCTAATCATCTTTGGTGATGAAACACACTAATAACTAATATACAATTTATTAATTCTCACTAGTATACCCAGCCTTCCAGTATTCAATGAACATTTAAAAATAAGTGAGGTAGTCTTATCCTTTTAGCCATTTATAGATCTAACACTGTGAAATATTATAATTAATTAAGGCAAAAGGAGTGAAAATTAAATGCTAATATGTTATAAATGCAAACTGTTAATGGTGTGAGTAGTGTGCCTGATCAGTAGGGTTTGAAGTTTTCATGGCAGTGAGTCCAAAGATGGTTGTCTTCTGGGTTGTAGCACCATGTAGTCTGGTAGAAGTTTATTAGTGTTTCAGAGATAAACTTCTACCAGACTACACACTGCTACAAACCAGACGACAACCGCCATTTTATGTGCCTATCCTGTGAGATCTTTAAATGCTACAAACAAATAGTAAGTGTTTTCAGCTAACTAACTCTGTGGTGCAGGAAATCTGAAAGTTTATTACTGTATTTACAAGAGCCTATTGCTGGTCTCTGTTATGTATTCTGAGCTAAATAAATTCAACCATACTATTGCACCATATTTCTGTAAGATCCATCTATGCCTAGGTCTCTCAAGAGGTCTCTTTCCTTTCTTTATATGCTTTTCTCATCTCTTCCATGCAGTTTTCTCTAACCTCCCATTATTTTCCTTTTCTTAGGTTCAAAAATTCTCCCCAGTATCCTGTTAAAATTTTTTCTTCATTTGTATTCTTCCCTTAGACAGAGACCAAGTTTAACATCCATGTAAAATAACTTGTAATGTTTTCTTAAAGCTAACATACTCATCAAGAAACATGCATATTTAATTGTATATTGATTTTATTACAGGAGCTATGCTAATGGCCATGTATCTGAACAGTCTTACAGATCAAGAGACAGTAAGCCTTACTACAGCAATGGTCCACTCAGGTGACTTACAACTATATAAATTTTGGATTCAATTAATTTTAATCTTTCTAGCAACCAATGAACTTGACATTTATATTGTCAATATATGACAGAACAGTGTTATACACCACCTTAATTATTTTCCAAGCTATTTAAATTCAGCCCTGTTCACTTTATTTAAACATCATTTATCTATTTTATTTTAGTATATTAAGAATGACAGGACATTACATTTTATGATTGTCTCCTTTGTTGGGCATGGCAAAGTATTAAAATTGAGGGAACAATGTAACTTTTATCAGTAAAACATCTGAGCACAGAGAGGTTGGAGAAATATTTAGTTACTGATATTGTAGAACACTGAAGTTAGTGAGTTATTCAGAGAAGTGGCTTGTTCATGCATAACATGCAAGGACTTAAGTCACTGTTGAGTGACTACCATTAACGAGTTTATTATGCTTAGTGATGAGAAGAGCGCTGATGTTTGGTTGAACTTTGTTAGGTGATCAACTTCAATGGAACCCTGAGTGGAAAGACTTGTTGGTGGACAAACACAGTACAGGCGGCTGTGGAGACAAAATATCCCTGGTTCTAGCACCTGCTCTGGCAGCATGTGACTTCAAAGTGCCTATGATATCAGGCAGAGGCCTGGAACACACAGGTGGTACACTGGACAAGCTGGAAAGCATCCCAGGTACTTTATCAGTATATGAATAAATACTAAGCAAATATAAGTGATGTGTAATCAGTGATTCATCACAAAAAATCAAATGAATTGAAGATAGTAAATAATTGTGTAGCTCATACTGCAAAAGATATCTTGTATTCTGTGTTAACTAGATATCCCGTTAGTAGTTTTCATGGTCATTGAATGTTATCAATGAACCATTATAACTTAGTGAAGTGACATGCTTTGAATGGGACAGCTAAAATTTTGTTTTTTAGTGGACACATGATATATCAGCAAATAAAATTATGGGCTGTGAACTAGATGGCTAAGAATTGATTTATTTAGAACAACTCTGGGGCCAGAGTTATTTCTTATCCAGTTGGTTGAGGAGTTCTTTCTTTGGTATTAAAATCAGCCAGAACATGAAGCTTCTCACTTACCTTTCAATTACTGTCAAGTTTTGAAATATGTGAATGTTTTATTTTTATCTCCCTAATGCCTTCATGTGTGGTGATAAGTTTTCATTGTCTGATCTTACTTTACACTCCACTTACACTTCTGTTAATGAGTAATAGGTCATGTTGAAGTTTAACATACCTAGTCTGAATATGGATTTCTTATGTTGTAAGCAGTACTAGCATAAATTGCTCACAGTTGTCTCGGAATGAAATTGTTTATTTTGTTGAGGAAGAATAACAAAGTAATGCAAGTAAGCATTTGAAAAATTGGCTTGTATAACCATAGTAGAAAATCTAAAAGTATTTAAGAATATATATGCTGTAAACAAGTATGAGGCCATTGTAATTTACAGTTTTTTGTTTGTGCCAGGGTGTCCAACTCTAAATTTGCAAAGGACATGCAAAGACACTATGGTATTAGTAATATTAATTTCTATCACTGTCGTGTGTTTGGTGTATTTGAGTATTTCGTGTGGTGAATTTGTTTCATAGGAATGGTGCTGACATGGCAAGGAGATATCTATGGTTTGGCATGAGGGTTCAAAAGAAGTGTTTTTAAAGTTCATTGTAAACATAATGACATAAATTCTCTTGATATGAGTAGTATAATTGGTTTAAAATTTTTAAGTTTAGATTTATGAAGAAAATTAGATATACGGAAATTAACAGCAGATTTCCTTGTTTAAGTATGATAACAAATTCTAGTTATATTTCACAAACATATATCAGTTAAATAGCATTTCATTCTTTTTTCTTAGATTATAAGAGCATGGCAATGTCTATTAGTCTATATCAAGTTTATTAATTACTGTCATTAATTGAAATAATAGTATAGAAAACTAATAATGTTGAGATTTTTTTTATTGGTTCCCTCACAGCTATGTTATAGATATCTGGTTATTAAGACAGGCAAATACTCTCTTTTAGGTTACTGTGTGCAGTTATCAGAGAACGAGATGCATTATGCACTGAAGACAGCAGGTTGCTTTATTGCGGGGCCAACAGAGACTCTGGCACCTGGTGACAAAGAACTTTATAAACGCAGAGATGTAACAGCTACTGTGGACAGTATACCACTGTGTGTAGGTCTGTTTATCAGTATACATATTTTTTATTAAAATTGGGCTGTACTCAGTGAAAGAAAAGGATAGGTCTATAAATGTGTTCACTCTGTCCCATTCTTTTATTAGCCCTTATTGTATGGGAAGAGAGAATTTAAACCCCTGTACTAAGGGCTGAAGACTAGACTTTAATTCCTAGGTTAATGGTTAATTGGTATGCTAGTACAATTTACAGCCAGCTGAATCATGCTTAAGCCACAACACTCAGACAATAAAGTTTAAACAGTACTATAAAATGGAAATATAATATCAAATGAATGACAGGTTAAGTATGAATGGTACTGAATTTTGTGGTCAAGTGGTTAGCACTCATGCTTTCTATTTAGAAAATTCCAGGTTAAAATCTCAGCCTGGAGATTAGCCAAGGTTTTTCTTCTTTTTGATATTGTTTAGTCTTTTTAGGCATATACCAGGACAGTACCTCAGATAGGCTAAAATCGCTTCCTTCCATGTTCTTTCCAACTTATTGCTCATTAATAATGTCATTTTATGCTGTATAGTTTGAGCTACTGATGGAATTTTTTTTAATAGAGCATATATAAAGAAATGAAATTGTGAATAGTGATCTCAGAAGTATATAGATAGAGTCATAGCCTGTTTCTAGATGCTTTTCCTGTAGAGAAAAGCACAAAACATCTCAGTCAAGACAATTGGTATGTATGCTGAGATTCAAATTGTGGGCCTCATAAATATTAAACAGGATTGACAACCAAAATGCAAGTTTTACACCACATTGTTCAACATGCAGTTGGAAGTTTCAGAAACATTTTTAGTTTCTCCTCTGTGCCATGCAGAGAATAGATTTTCAGTTGTAATTGTCTCTTTAACTGTCAATACATGTTACATTACCTAAAATTTAGAGTTGGGTCTATTTCTGTAATTGTAGTGATATGTAATATTATTGTGACTTTTCCTTAAACTTTATTTTGAAGATTTCTGTCTTCTGGGTTATTGCGCTGTGTAGTCTGGTCGATGTTAACCAACGTTTCAGAGGTCATACT